TACACACACACACACACACACACACACACAAACACACACCCACACATACACACACACACACACAAATGTCTGGTTCACTATCCTTGTGGGGAATCCCCAAAGGCGTAATGGTTTTTATACTGTACAAACTGTATTTTCTGTCACCCTGCACCAACCCTACACCTAAATTTACCCCTCACAGTAAACTATGTGCATTTTTAGATAATAATAAAAAAAAAAAACATTTAGTGTGTTTTTTAAGCCTTTTGAATTACGGGGACACAGGTAGTGTCCTCATAAACCACCTTCATGTTGTACCTGTGTCATACCCATGTCATTATACAAATTTGTGTCCTCATAAACCACCCAAACCAGTGCACACACACACACACACATCCACAACTAAGGAAACCAGGGCTAAACAAAGGAAAATAACAAAACTTGATACCTATGATATGTGACAGACACAGACGTCATAACTGGCATTTAGATGCATTATTTCCAGCTACTTCTCAATTTTTGCTTTGGAAACTAAAACAGTTCCAAATGATCAATGGAGAGAACCATAGTTTAGGCATAAAAACAAAGTGAAATTGCAGAAATTGAATATAAATAAATAAGCAAACACTTTCACTGATGCCAGACTTTATCTTACCTTTTTTCTCCTTGTATCACGCTAGCAACCATCACATCACTTTTTTTTTTCTTAATCCATTGGCTTTAGCACAGTGGAATCTACATATAGAATGTACTGTATTTTGTGCTTGATTTCAAACTTGACCCATCTTTAGGGTTTCCATGTCCCAGAAAAATGTCCAGGCCAAAATCAACTCAAATACGTAAAAAACAAAGGACATCAGAAAGAAAAAATGGGCTAGTTTTCTATCACAACAGGGATTCTTGTAAAGATACACATTTAATATTGTTTTAATTTATTCAACATTTTAAACCTTTGAATAATTTTAGTTAAAGGCTTGCTTATTTGTAGTAGAGTTATGTGCACATTTAATTATTATTATTATTAATAATAATAATATTACAAAGGAAAATAACAAAACTTGATACCTATGATATGTGACAGACACAGACGTCATAACTGGCATTTAGATGCATTATTTCCAGCTACTTCTCAATTTTTGCTTTGGAAACTAAAACAGTTCCAAATGATCAATGGAGAGAACCATAGTTTAGGCATAAAAACAAAGTGAAATTGCAGAAATTGCGTACTGTAAGAGTATAGAACTATATTTGACAAAGAACTTTGTGCCTGTGAAAAAAGTATGTTCTAGAACTTACAAAAGTATATGTTCTAGACATACTACATCTGCAATGTTTGCATTATAATGTGACATACAATGTCACTTTCTGTTGCCTCGTGAGATAGTAAAGTGTCCATCGGATGGGTGTTTCCCTGACTCTGGATTAATCCCTGTGACCCTATAGAAAAAGTGGTTTGGAAAATTAATACATGGATTGTTTCATTAGAGTTTACTTTATTAAACATTCATTACTCCAAAAAAAACAAAAACATGCATAACATAATACAGGATCTGGTTGTACAAAGTAGAAAAGCATGGTACGACATGTTTAGAAATATTAAATTAAACTGTAACTAGACTTACTATGTGAACAACTGGTAGAAATCAAACACAGAGCACTGTAATGCAACACAAATAGAGATCTGTTATGGGTGCTTCTCATTGCTTCTCTCGTTTTTTTATTTTAGCAAGACTTTTTTTCTCTGCAGTTGTATTGTAAGTCATTTCAAATGAAAAGTATCAGCACAGTGGCAACTATTTATGCAGGTGTCGCCTCCTTTCGGTCTTCTGTGCAAAAGCAGATTGGAAACAGATAAAAACCAGCACTAAAGCCAGAAGAAAGTCTTCTTCTTCTTTTTTCTTTTTTTGGCAATTTGAATACACATATGTTAGCAAATCAACATGGCACATTAAATCCATCCATATGAATACATCACAGTCATTACTGGATCACTGTTCCTCAAAAGGATGCATTTTAATTTTTGATCTATTGAATGCAAAAAAGATTTAAGGCAGTAGACAGCATTGTCCTTTTTGCATACAGATTTAATTACAAGCAGACTGCATAATAACACAGTTAATTAATATCACAGTATTTGTTTGCTTAATATAATTTGACACTAATTAATTAGACAGTTATAAATATACAGTTCTGCTTATGTTAAATGTTTGTCCTTTTAAATAAATAATATTTAAATCATAATATTCAAATATGAACAAAATACTAAAAATAATAACTTAAATAAAATATGACATTAGTAGGCCATATATTTTAAGTGTTCTAATAAGTAATTACAATTCAGTTATTTTCTATGAACATACTTTTGCAAATTCAGCCTCTTGAGGAATGCAATTTTTGATTATTTCTGTACAAGACAAATCAGGAAGTTTGCTTGAGTGATTTGACATTTTATTTAAATGACTCCAACAAGCCTGAATTATTTTCACTCGTTAACATGTTGGTTTGAAACGCCATTAAGTTCTAATATTGCAAAAACGATAACATTTCATTTGCATGCTGTGCCGGCTGTTTGCTGTAGACAAGGCTTAAAATATTATTTTGTTCAATTTTGTTAAATAAAAACTTGAATATAAAAAGTTGTTTCATACCTACGTTATTATTGTTCCAATATTTTGCACAGGAGTAGAATTCATTAAGATGAATAAGACTCTTACCTTTTAAACACTGACTTTTTGAAGTATTTGATGTATTCTATGCTTCAAAATAAACTAACCCTTGGACAGTGTTGTTTCCATGGCGCAGAACTGCCAGAACTGAGAACATTGTGTATTATCTTAAGGTGTAAAATTACCTATCTGTGTTCAAGGAAGATATCTGATCAAATCATGACTCATGCGCACTTATAAACCACAAATATAGCATTCTGATAATGACACCATACACTCATAGTGTATTATTAGACCACTTGAATTATTCCAGATTTCTTGAGCTAGTTAAAGTGTGCCTCCTGGTGGTACAAGCTTTATGAAGCACTTTCTTAATAACTGCACACAGTCAGAGATGTCAAAATACCCCATTATTATATCAGTCAACAGACAACTTATTTCAAACCTAAATTAGCCAAAGACAAAAATGAGTCATGGAAACTGTTCACACTATGTTCACGATTTCTTAGAAAGCAATCTGAGAGGGGAACTTTTGATTCATACTTATGGAAGTTTGAATTTTCAGTATGAACGTTTTATTTTCAGTATGAAAGGTTCAGATCATTTCATGTTATTCGGTTGGTTATCTTACACCTCAAAGCCAGGGCTGGGCCACTAAATGGAATTATTTGAACGTCAAAGTCAAGAGTTTGAAACTTGAAAACAGTGGCACATTGCGTTTCTCAAGAAGAACAGGCTGTACGTGTGGGTGCCTGCAGAACAGCATTAAACAGTTTAAACACCAACCTTCTCCTCACACCTCATAAAAAAACAAAGTTATATTCACACAATCAGACAAACAACCACAGATGCGGCAAGTGTCAAACACAGACGTGAATAAACTCGCGAACCTTTCTGTAAAAGGCATCATTTTTCTTTCTTTAAATACAAGTATGCCTACATGCTCCCATGAAGACAAGTACAAAACCTGTTTACATTTTTTTTAGGCCAATGCCTTAACTGGATAAGTCTTAAAGAAAAATGAAATAGTTTTTTTTTTTTTTACTAATGTGTCTCTAAATGAATTTTTTTCCATGCAATTAATAGGACCAGTGTTGTCAATTTAGCAATTTTGTTGCTAAATTTAGCAACTTTTCACACTGCCCTAGCAACTTTTTCTTCCAAAAGCACCAAGCAACAAATGTAGCTATTTTTATTTTATTTTTTGGCAATTTTTAGCAACTTTTGATAAGTGACTCAAACGATAAAAAGGCACCCATATTCCATCTAATTGTTCTGTAAAACAATAAATTTTTAATGCATTTACAGTTCCTTGCACATGTTGAGACCACCGCGATAAGATCAGGGGAAGTTTGATTAGTCATTTGTCTGTTTTGGGATCTTTCCAAAATCACAGCACCTGCAGATGCAGTTTTCACACCTGTTTCCTCAGCCGCTCCGGATGGTTTTCACATGGTCTGGGTGAGGTCTCGAGAGACGTAGACGTAGAAAATATGTACAAATACTAATCTTCAGATCAGCTAGTTGTATACACCAGATCAAACTTACAAGGTCAAACTTACCTAAACAAAGGCACTTGACTAGTTGTACGAATAAAATGTTTCCGATGTTTAATCTCAAAAATAACTGAGGGTAAAGTAACTTATGTACAGCACAGAATGTGCAAACATGTATGGTTTCTGTACAAAGAAATATACATGCAAAATTAATATCGAGTCAAAAACATTCAAAATGACATTATGTAAAAAACAGGGTGTCGCTACGTCCAGTTTTTTTATGGTGTCTGTACATCTATACATTATGAGAAACTAACTTAAATAAAACATGAAAAATTATACTAACATTACTGACCCAGCATATTATTTACCTCCTTTATATTCAGCAATAAAGTTTTAGTGACAAGGGTTGACAGTTGTTATTTTGGATTATTAGACCACTGCAACTTGCCTCTTCAACTTCAACCCACAATATGGAGGCAATTAACTTGGTACTTTCTCCCTGTACAACAGATACAGTACACGGGGAACGATTCATCTCATTGTATTTAAAATAAAGTGAACTGAAAACAAAGAATAATTCATTTAGTCATGCAAACTTACATTAACAGACTACTGCTACAATGAGCAGATATGGAAATTAAAATGCCTAATAATCTGACAATATGAAGCACTACTTCAATTAAATTAGATTAACAAAAAACCGAACAAGACACAATAAATAAATCAACAATCAATACAAGTAAACTCCTGCTCCAGGAGTCAGAACTGCATTCATAACATATTGTTACAAATTATAACCACCAAACAGGGAGAAGAAGCATTTAGGTACATGAGGATTAACTTTGGTATAATGATAAAAATAACGACATTCATAACGAAAGTGTGACAAAGACACAACTGATTTTTCACCAATGAGGCTTAAGCTTACAAAATAATACTGAACACAGAAAATTCAGCAAAAGAGCCACGGATACATCATATCTCAACTCGCAGTGGCCGATACATGTACTTAACAATGTTGATTTAACACGAATCATTATAAATAGCTGCAAAATGTTAAAGCCCCAACATTGCACATTTCAACAAGTTACAAAGAGTGCACATCTGCTGTGGTTACCAACACTTCCTGCCTTCGGCGGCTTTCCAGCTTGTATTCTAACTGGTCAGTTGAAAGTCATGATCAGCCAATGAGAAAGCATGTCAAACACGGCAAATTAACATGAATGAAGGCAGGTCCAGTTCATTTACAACATAAGGCTGTTAAGACAGACGCGAATTGAAATGAAAAGCTTATCTTTTACTCCCCTTGTGCGAAAGAGTTGCAGCTGTTAAAAATTGTTTCATTTGTTATGCCTGATTTCCAATATGACGGTATGTTTATCAAACATGGAACTTGAGATGAACGCCATAGTGTAACCTATTTTACTTCCCTTTAAGTCTTTAAATAAGCTTTTTATTTTTATCATCTTTACTGTGCTTCTATACATGGTTTGTACAAAATGTAATCTTTCCTGAATGTAGCTATTCAAATTACAGTACTCCACTGAAACAACCTGATTGAAATACCGTCTAAAGCTTTCTGGCTCAGGGAAAAAGCCTTCAAAAGAATCCCCCTCCCCCCCTTCTTAATTCACATTTGTTTCTCGTGAGTTTTGTCCATACAAAGGGAGAACATGTACATGTAGCTGAAATGATTTTTTTGAAGGGTTGGAAAAGGGGACTTCAGAGTTTTGTCAGCAGCAGTTACAGTAACAGAGACCCAGAACCATTTCAGAATGACTCTAAAAGGAGGATGAGATTTCCTATTTATAACCTATACTTTCCTTAATAGAACTGCAGGAGAACTAGCTTACAATTGGATTTCCACTCTACGTCTCTCTCTCAGGTCTGGCTAAGTAGGCGACTACGCAGGAATGCACGGAAACTGGCCACGGGTCGCAGGTCGTTCTGATGTTTCCTCCGCTCTATAAAAGAGATGAGTCTGGAAGTGTCGAGGTGAGCTGCGCCAGAGGCCGCGTTGGGCTGCAGCCATGGCTCCTCACGCAGGCAAACCTGCGCAGAGGGACGTCTGCATGGCTCGCCTTGGAGTAAGTCGCATACGAAGTCCCTCGCTGCCTGACTCACGCTGCGGAAGTAGTCCTCCGGGAAGCTGAAGTCGAGACGGCAGATGTTGAGGCAGGTCTCCTCGACACTCTCATCCAGGAAAGGGGAAGCCCCACTGAGCATCACGTACGCCAACACGCCTAGACTCCAGAGGTCAGACGCCAGAGCCGCTGGTTCACCCAGCACCAGCTCTGGGGCGGAGAACTCTGGGCTGCCCAGCAGTGGGTGGATGTAAGGGGTGTTGGAGAGATGTGCCGCATCACCGAAATCCGTCAGTTTGACTAGAGGCTGGTTTGACGTTTGCTCGATTAATACATTCTCGGGCTGAAAGACATAATGCAGATAAGCATGGGATAACAGACACATGACAGATTCAAATGATAAACATTTAAATTAAATAGCACACTTGGCTTGAGAATGATGTAATCCAGTCAAGTATTCAAGCAAAGTAGTCTCTACGTAAAATACTTCACAAAATTGAAATATTCAGTAGTGTAGGGAAGATGGGATAAAATGACCTCCCACCTTATTTTTCTTTTAACCACAGATGTCACAAAATCTCTAGGAGTGGCAATATATTAAAATAGAAGCAATTAGTCAGCTGGAGACTGAAGTACAGAATAAGGCTTAAAGGGTGTAAACTGGATGTTTCATCACTTATGAATATATATATATACAGGGGTTGGACAATGAAACTGAAATACCTGGTTTTAGACCACAATGATTTATTAGTATGGTGAATGGCCTTCTTTTGTGGCCAATACAGCATCAATTCGTCTTGGGAATGACAGATACAAGTCCTGCACGGTGGCCAGAGGGATTTTGAGCCATTCTTCTTGCAGAACAGTGGCCAGGTCTCTACGTGATGCTGGTGGAGGAAAACGTTTCCTGACTCGCTCCTCCAAAACACCCCATAGTGGCTGGTGACTGTGCAGGCCATGGGAGATGTTCAATTTCACTTTCATGTTCATCAAACCACTCTGTCACCAGTCTTGCTGTGTGTATTGGTGCATTACCATCCTGATACATGCAGGGGTGTGAAGTAACGAATTACAAATACTCACGTTACAGTAATTAAGTAGTTTTTTTTATCAATAATTGTACTTTTTTGAGTAGTTTAAAAATTGTGTACTTTTACTTGAGTACATTTTAAGTGATGTATCGGTACTTTTACTCCGCTATTTTCCTCTGTTTGTGGTCGTTACATGCTTATTTTATTTTTATCCATCAACGTGATTGGATAGATAGTAACGTAATGGGTCTTGTGACTTTCGTCAAATCAAATTGTGCATAGAAAACTTAAACCGCCAACTGTTTATCATGGCTGCTGGAAGCGCATTCTTCAAGCATCAATTCAGTCGCATCTTCCTCTAACTTAATATGTTAAAGGGGTCATATGATGCGATTTCAAGTTTTCATTTCTCTTTGGAGTGTTACAAGCTGATTGTGCATAGATAAGATCCCTGAAGTTGCAAAGACTAAAGTCTCAAAACCAAAGAGATATTCTTTATCAAAGTTAAGACTCTGCCACGCCCCCCCTAAAACGGCTCGGTCTAAAACGCCCCCACATATCTACCTCACTATGTGGAAATATTTGCATAATGCCGCCCAAATGTGCACACAAAGAAAGAAGGCGTGGTTTCAGTAACGCAGTTAGTGTTGACGCTTTAAGATTACTTACAACAGAACAGCAATGCATTTTATGGACGACCGTTTCGTGAACCTAGGAGAAGAGGTAAAACTGACTTTGCTATGACAATATGGCGCTTCTGAATCAGCTACTGTTTTGTTATTAGTTTAAGTATTTGCTATTGACTGTTCAAATGCAGAGTTTTGCGCATCGTGTGTGTGTGTGTGTGTGTGCGTGCACGCGCGCGCGAGTGAGAGAGTGTGTGTGTGTGTGTGCGTGCGCGCGCGAGCGAGAGAGAGAGAGAGAGAGAGAGAGAGAGAGAGAGAGAGAGAGACACATCACAGTGGAGTCAGCTGTCTTAACCGTGGCTTGTGTACTGCAAACACATACCAGCTTCATCACTGTGTCTGTCACGCGACTCGGTTCCCCTGGACTTTGCAGAAAACGAAGTGTTTGAGAGAGGCGGGGCATAGGGGACCTACAATTTTTTGAAATTTGGTGTGAGGTTGCGGGTATTGCGTACAGTGTTAACTGCCACGAGTGCCACGTTCAGTAAATTCCCACTCACTTATGAGATGCGCCATCTGCGCTGCCTCTCTCGCGTGCGTTCTGCAGCGGTCACTTGGATAAGTCGTTGTTGCTTGTGGAACTTGTTGACTTTTGATGAGTTTGAGCGCGTAATACGCGCTGTGAAAAAGTTTGTTGGAAACAAATTGAGGACCAAATCTGCACCTTATTGATGACCTGTGGCGTTAATATACTGATGAGCTTTGTAAAAATCGACACGTTTCAGAAAGGCGGGGCATAGAGGAGAAACAATAATGTACAGTATGTGGAAAATAATGTGTTTTTTGAACCTTAAACCGCAACACATTTCATTACACCAAATACACAAAATAATGTTATTTTTAGCAACATCATATGACCCCTTTAAAATTTATAAATTGTGGTGTACAGCGTTTATTATGAGGGGGTATAATTCACAGCTCAGTACTCACTACTCAATACTCATGAGTACTTTTAAATAGGCTACTCTTTTACTCTTACTCAAGTAGTTTTTTTGGACAAGTACTTTTAATCTACTCACACAAAATTTTTTTGGAAGGTAATGGTACTTTTACTTGAGTATATTTTTTCAGTACTCTTTCCACCACTGGACACACGGCACCCCCTTCAGGGTACAATGTTTGAACCATTGGGTGCACATGGTCCTCCAGAATGGTTCGGTAGTCCTTGGCAGTGACGCGCCCATCTAGCACAAGTATTGGGCCTAGGGAATCCCATGATATTGCAGCCCAAACCATCACTGATCCACCCCCATGCTTCACTCTGGGCATGCAACCATCTGGGTGGTAAGCTTCTTTGGGGCTTCTCCACACCGTAACTCTCCCGGATGTGGGAAAGACAGTGAAGGTGGACTCATCAGAGAACAATACATGTTTCACATTGTCCACAGCCCAAGATTTCCGCTGCTGGCACCATTGAAACCAACGTTTGGCATTGGCACGAGTGACCAAAGGTTTGGCTATAGCAGCCCGGCCATGTATATTAACCCTGTGGAGCTACCGACGAACAATTTTGGTGGAAACAGGAGAGTTGAGGTGCACATTTAATTCTGCAGTGAGTTGGGCAGCTGTGGTTTTATGTTTTTTGGATACAGTCCGGGTTAGCACCCGGACATCCCTTTCAGACAGCTTCCTCTTGCGTTGACAGTTACTCCTGTAAGATGTGGTTCGTCCTTCATGGTGGTATGCTGACATTACCCTGGATACCGTGGCTCTTGATACACCACAAAGACTTGCTGTCCTGGTCACAGATGCTAGACGCGCACCAACAATTTGTCCTCTTTTGAACTCTGTTATGTCTCCCATTATGTTGTGTGCATTGCAATAGTTTATGTAAAACTGTGCTATTGCTCTGCTAATTCAACATTCACACTCTGCTCTTACTGGTGGAATGTGCAATCAGTGAAGATTGGCCACCAGGCTGCACAAATATAGCCATGAAACATCCAACACTATATTGGTCAGTGTTTCAGTTTCATTGTCCAACCCCTATATATATATATATATATATATATTCATTCATAAGAATGATATAAACAGTCATTTATACAACTAAATTAGCAAATCTTTCTGTTTATTTCCCTTAATAACACATTGGCTGATGCATAATACATATATTTTAAGTCTCTTATTTACTTCACTCATTCTTATTCTTATTTACAAATGTCTGATAAACATTAAAATATATTTCCATGTATTCTAAACATTATACTAAATTTACAGAATGTTTTCTAACATCCAATAAGGACATTTCAGCATATTGTATTCATCTCAGCAAATGTATTCTATTACACTCTAAATATGACATCTAAATCAGTGGTTCTCTACCTTTTTGACTCCAAGGGCCATTAGGATATACACAACAAAATTAGGTACTCCATGTATTAAATAATAATAATAAAGCAATTAAAAAACTATTTAAATTGATAAAATATATGATGACAGCTCAGTGGCAATTTGACCTCTTTTCATAAGTCAAGCTAGTCTTCTACTATATCTTATAGATATATTAGTTATATTTAGATTTTTTATATGTTGTATTGATACATCATATTGTTAGTCATCAATGCATCGATTCATATATTTGCTAAATACCCTGTTTCTATTATTTAGATTAATATTTTCTAGTGTATGTGGAAAATAATGTGTTTTTTGAACCTTAAACCGCAACACATTTCATTACACCAAATACACAAAATAATGTTATTTTTAGCAACATCATATGACCCCTTTAAAATTTATAAATTGTGGTGTACAGCGTTTATTATGAGGGGGTATAATTCACAGCTCAGTACTCACTACTCAATACTCATGAGTACTTTTAAATAGGCTACTCTTTTACTCTTACTCAAGTAGTTTTTTTGGACAAGTACTTTTAATCTACTCACACAAAATTTTTTTGGAAGGTAATGGTACTTTTACTTGAGTATATTTTTTCAGTACTCTTTCCACCACTGGACACACGGCACCCCCTTCAGGGTACAATGTTTGAACCATTGGGTGCACATGGTCCTCCAGAATGGTTCGGTAGTCCTTGGCAGTGACGCGCCCATCTAGCACAAGTATTGGGCCTAGGGAATCCCATGATATTGCAGCCCAAACCATCACTGATCCACCCCCATGCTTCACTCTGGGCATGCAACCATCTGGGTGGTAAGCTTCTTTGGGGCTTCTCCACACCGTAACTCTCCCGGATGTGGGAAAGACAGTGAAGGTGGACTCATCAGAGAACAATACATGTTTCACATTGTCCACAGCCCAAGATTTCCGCTGCTGGCACCATTGAAACCAACGTTTGGCATTGGCACGAGTGACCAAAGGTTTGGCTATAGCAGCCCGGCCATGTATATTAACCCTGTGGAGCTACCGACGAACAATTTTGGTGGAAACAGGAGAGTTGAGGTGCACATTTAATTCTGCAGTGAGTTGGGCAGCTGTGGTTTTATGTTTTTTGGATACAGTCCGGGTTAGCACCCGGACATCCCTTTCAGACAGCTTCCTCTTGCGTTGACAGTTACTCCTGTAAGATGTGGTTCGTCCTTCATGGTGGTATGCTGACATTACCCTGGATACTGTGGCTCTCGATACACCACAAAGACTTGCTGTCCTGGTCACAGATGCTAGACGCGCACCAACAATTTGTCCTCTTTTTTAGCACCCGGACATCCCTTTCAGACAGCTTCCTCTTGCATTGACAGTTAATCCTGTAAGATGTGGTTTGTCCTTCATGGTGGTATGCTGACATTACCCTGGATACTGTGGCTCTCGATACACCACAAAGACTTGCTGTCCTGGTCACAGATGCTAGACGCGCACCAACAATTTGTCCTCTTTTGAACTCTGTTATGTCTCCCATTATGTTGTGTGCATTGCAATAGTTTATGTAAAACTGTGCTATTGCTCTGCTAATTCAACATTCACACTCTGCTCTTACTGGTGGAATGTGCAATCAGTGAAGATTGGCCACCAGGCTGCACAAATATAGCCATGAAACATCCAACACTATATTGGTCAGTGTTTCAGTTTCATTGTCCAACCCCTATATATATATATATATATATATTCATTCATAAGAATGATATAAACAGTCATTTATACAACTAAATTAGCAAATCTTTCTGTTTATTTCCCTTAATAACACATTGGCTGATGCATAATACATATATTTTAAGTCTCTTATTTACTTCACTCATTCTTATTCTTATTTACAAATGTCTGATAAACATTAAAATATATTTCCATGTATTCTAAACATTATACTAAATTTACAGAATGTTTTCTAACATCCAATAAGGACATTTCAGCATATTGTATTCATCTCAGCAAATGTATTCTATTACACTCTAAATATGACATCTAAATCAGTGGTTCTCTACCTTTTTGACTCCAAGGGCCATTAGGATATACACAACAAAATTAGGTACTCCATGTATTAAATAATAATAATAAAGCAATTAAAAAACTATTTAAATTGATAAAATATATGATGACAGCTCAGTGGCAATTTGACCTCTTTTCATAAGTCAAGCTAGTCTTCTACTATATCTTATAGATATATTAGTTATATTTAGATTTTTTATATGTTGTATTGATACATCATATTGTTAGTCATCAATGCATCGATTCATATATTTGCTAAATACCCTGTTTCTATTATTTAGATTAATATTTTCTAGTGGGAAGGATTTATTTTTGCTATTGTTTATATTTAGAATGAAAGCTGTCACCAGGAAGAGTTATTTGTATTTTATAGTTATTTGTATTTTTATTTATTTGTTATTTGTACTTTTATTGCTTGTTATATACTGTACAACCAAAAAAAATAAAAAATAATATATATATATATATATATATATTTTTTTTT